GTCCTTTCAGTGAGTTGAAATATTATATAGACTCATTCACACTCATGCATACACAAGCACAAACCACACAAAAACAAATGAAAAAAACCCGGAAAAAAAAACAAAACAATCAGCCGAATACTAAGACTCGTGGCTGCCAGAAGATTATGTAAGCTTAATCAGTATTTTCCTCATGGGCAGAGAAAACCCCTGAGCAACGGCCACAAACAAAGATGTCTAAGAGTCAAACTGATCGACAGACACCTCTCGGCTCAGAACAGAAAGTTCTCTCTCATCACCTTTGGCTGAGCATTCAATAAAGTCTCAATGACAAGAGCTGCCATTGCCGTTCATGGTCAAAATGCCGCTCTGCAACTATGTTGCAGAATAGAAGAATAAATGACCAGCTTTCACCATGAGACAATGACAAAAATGAAGAGTTGAAGATGTACATTGTATCAGGACTTTCTAATACAAGTTAATTCAGAAAAGATTTACCAAACTATATTTATTGAAGACAAAACGACTGACGACTAAAGTGTTGTGTGGTTGCCAGGTCATTGCTATGCAGTTGCTAAGTCTCTATGAGAATGCAAATGAAGCAGTTTGTTGAAGAGAGGTGTACCATTACAGTTCTAAGAGATCAGATTTATACTTTTCAACTAACGCATGATAAAAATTGAAAACCTCCAAAGGTTTACTTTGAAGGACGGACCTGAGCCATATTTAACCACTGTTAAATCTTTTTTGCCATTTTTATCATCCAGAAATCAAAATAAATAAATAAATAAAAATCAAACATCTTAAAGTCCCCATGAAATCAAAATTAAAGTTTTTTGGGTGTTAGTATCAATATGTTAGTCTCAAGGTTATCTATAAGGCAGTGTGCTCCAAAACAGTGACAAAATTCGCATTTAGAAGATATAAGCATTCAAAGATTTTAGTTTGTCACTTCCGCCAAAATGGCTCAACGGTTTTTTTGACGTCACATCGTACTTCATCTTCTCATCAAATCTTCTGACCAATAAAATGCTCTCTAGAAGCCGAAGCACCCGCCCCCTGCACTATAAATAGACACTGAAGTGCCGGCTGAGTCCGGTCACTTGTTCACAGTGTAGTATTTCCTGTACAGTGAATGGCTCGTAGTGCACAATGTAGGCGATAGGGAACGATTCAGACAGTGTAAATATGCTTTCAATTGGGACAAATGAGGTGCTGGTTTCACGTTGTGTCACGCGAACCGCGGCAGCGCACACAGTCTGATCCGGACTTTGGCTCCGGTCCAGAGACCCGATCACACGGAGTGGATCATATGCGCGAGTCGGCATATATTAAACACTTTTACAACTACACAGCCTCAGCATGATTATGACCACTATTTTGTTTTACAAGTTTCATATTGAACCTAGGGGGTAATCTATTAGACTGTGGCTGTCAAATGCGGCTGTACCGAGCTCAACGGATCTGGCCCGAGCAAATATAAACAAAACGCTATTGGCTAATTTAAAAAGGGGGTGGGGCTGCTCGATATGTCCCGCCCTCTCTTCCTGTTTCAGTTGAAATTATGTCACCACATAGAATGCTGCTGCATGTTTCAAGGCACTTCAGGAGACCTTTAAAGGTTAGAAAGGTAATAGCACACCTCTCCTCAACAAGTGTCACCATTTGAGAAATGATTTATGTTTGCGGAGTAATGCATCCAAATTTAATGCTTAGGGTTACACTACTGTTCAAAACTTTTAGGGCTAATGTTTTATTAGTTTCTAAAAAATTTTATTCAGCATGGACTTATTAAATTGATCAAAAGTGACAGTAAGGACCGTTTAGAATGTTACAAAAAGAATTCAAATAAATGCTGTTCCATTGAACTTTGTATTTATCAAAGAATCCTGACAAAAAATGGTTGGTTTCAACGAAACCTTAAGTAGAAATACATTTTATATTAAACAGGAACAAATTACATTTTAAAATACATTGAAATAGAATACATTTTTAATTGCAATAATATTTCGCAATATTGATGAGAATAAAAGCATTAAAATCCTTAAAACCCCAAATCAATAGCACTGAAGGCCAGATCCTGCACGAAAACTACAATGCCAAGGACACATCACAGATAAGAGCAGCAGTAACTGAGGTGCGTGTGTGTGTGTGTGTGTGTGTGTAGGTTACAACGACCCTCCTCTGCACTCTGTGTGATAATCCTGGCGTCTGTGAGAGAACAAAAAGCATTGCAGAGGGATTTACACAGGCACAAAAACAGACACTGTGAATCAGTGAACATACCTTCATTAAGACACACTGTAAAAAATTATTGTGATTTTAACAGTAAAAGACTAAAAATGCTACAGTAAAAACCTGTTAACTGGTTAACAGTAAGTTTCCATAATATATTCGGTGAATAAATGTAATTACATTTAACATAATTTTACAGTAAAATACTGTTAAAAATATGGTTTTTGGAAGTGAAAAAGAAAAAGTCATTGTATAATCCACCACCAGGATTCCCTGCATGACACTTCATAGTTGATGTTTTTTGTTGAAATAACATGTTTCTTCTTAGTTTTTTCTTATCAGTTGTGTACATTAGGGTTTAATCTTACATCTAATGTTGTTAATGTTTATTGCATTATTTCAGTATCATGTGTGTCACCATGATGGGGTTTAGTGTTAGTGTGAATTACACTGTGCACCTTCTATATATAAGTATTGCCCTCCTTAGCTCGCTTTTTTTTTTTTTTTTTACAGTGCACCCTGCAAATCAAATGCAAACATATGCTGCCAAGCTCACAAATACTGTAATATGCAGTGTCACTGTGGTGTTAGACATATTAGAATTCATATTATTATATTTGTAATATTTGTAAAATAAACATTAACACTACATATTACAGTATTTTATTGATTGACTGCCATCAAAACAGTCAAACCATTACTGCTCACAAAGAATTAAACTAAAGGAAGCCAAAGCTGACCTGGTCTATGGAAAGCTGTCTTGCAATCACTGCTTTCAACTAAAAGAAAATCAACAGGCAGCTTGCCCTGCTCTTGGATTAGGCAGGACATGACTCCTGATGATATGAAACTTTTAAAATGTGTTGAGTGATATGTTTTATGATGCAATATATGAAGCACAATACAGACAAGTCATCATGTGTCTTTTGCTATGAGGAAATGTCGGTTTCGAATGTTTCAAAACTATATGAACAATATCATAGCCAGTAAATCAGTAATCTAAATTATGCCATTTGCCAAAATATGCCTCTACCAATAAAGGGTCTGAATTGGGAAGATTGTTTTTGCATTTAAAAGATTCCTTTTATATGCTCACCATTGATGAGTATGATGAATGAATGAATACAGTATGAATAAATTGATGAATACAGTAAAAAGAGTGATTTTTACAATTCAAGATTTTTACATTTTAATATGTTTTAAGTCTTCAGTGTCACATGATCCTTCATTCTAATATAATTCTATATTATTATTATATTATGAATAATTATTATCAATGTTGAAAACAGTTATGTTGCTTATTTTTTTGGAATTATTTGATGAACAGTTTTCAAATGAACAGCATTTATTTGAAATGTGGAACTATTTTGTAACAATGTAAATGTTTTTACTACCGCTTTTGATCAATTTAATGCATTGTTGGTGAATAAAATCTTCATTCTCAAAAAAAAAAAAACCCTAGTGACCCCAAACATTTGAACAGTAGTGTGTGTGTGTGTGTGTCAAGTCAAGTCACCTTTATTTAAATAGCGCTTTTAACAATACAGATTGTGTCAAAGCAACTGAACAGCATTAATTAGGAAAATAGTGTGTCAATAATGCAAAATGACAATAGTACATTTTATATTTTAATATAAAAATGTACTTTATAAATTTAATAGACAATACTAATTTTTCAGCTAAAGACAGTTCATCATTGAATTCAGTGATGTCATCATCCAGCTCAGTTCAGTTTAAATAGTATATTTGCAATCAAGTCAACGATATCGCTGGAAATGAAGTGTCCCCAACTAAGCAAGCCAGAGGCAACAGCGGCAAGGAACCAAAACTCCATCGGTGACAGAATGGAGAAAAAACCTTGGGAGAAACCAGGCTCAGTCGGGGGGCCAGTTCTCCTCTGGCCAGAAGAAACCAGAAGTTCAATTCCAGGCTGCAGCAAAGTCACATTGTGCAGAGGACTGTGTGTGTTTTTATATGTTAGCTTGGGGCTGTCTTTGCATGTGTTTACATTCCTGGGGTGTGGTGATGCTATCAAGAGGGTTTCGCAAGATGAGTGAGCATATGCAAATGTGTTTCTCTACTTATGAGGGACAGATTTCTGAACATGCTCTTGAATAATGCAAAACCTCTTGAAACCAAATTGAGCACATTGAATTTGTTGAATAAATGGGCCACCTAAGTCTAAGCTATGCCAAAAGTGTGTCAGTGAGAGGTACGTGAAAGGCTGCGAATTAGTTTATATTGTCATTTTACAGATTTACACATTCAAGTTAATGTTTACTGGTAGGGTGAAAGAAAACAAAACGGGCACACAAAGTAGATGGGAAATATACGTTTAAAGTTTCTTAATCAAATCGTTGGAGAGTTATGAGGCTTTATTCATTATGCACCCACTAGAAATATAAGCAATTTGGTGGCTGCAATCTTCAGAGTACCAGTGTTTAATATCCATTTTTCCATGTTTTATTAGGTTTGGACCATGTGTTTAGATCTAGGGCAAGACTTACTAACAGATTTACAACATTATAGCAGTCTATAATATAATTGCAGTCTAACACTAATTTGCCCTGTTTAGTAAATCTGGGCCCTAGTCCAGTGGTGTTATCATTAACTAAAAACTCAAATTAAAACTACAAAAAAAAAAACATATTTGTTAATTAAAATAAAGCTTAAATAAAATAAAATATTAATATCAGATTAAAAAATAAAATGGATATTTTGACATATGAAACTGAAATAAGCTGAAGTTAATCAGTTAATAAAAACTTTTTTTTAAAATAACTCACCACTGATGACCTTCAGCACACAGTGGATTGATGGAAATCACCTTTTCACCAACTTTTTTCCCTAAAATGAAAAATGCAAACAAAATAAACGAGATGTGACAGACCAGTAGCATCTGATCTTTTTTCACACGAAAATTAAAACATTTATTTTGCAGCAGATGATCACACACCTGTTCACCACTGGACTAATAAGACATACTTCCTCTAAAGATTTAAATATAAGTGATAATTGGTCTGCTTCCGACGTCTTTGACACTAAAGCCTTCATACAAAGAAGTGACTGTAAAACAGCAATTAAAGGCATAATAGTAAAGAAGGGTCGGAAACTGAACTAGTTGATCCTGTCCCCCCATATACACATGGACTGAGTGGCTATTGTGTTAAATGTAATTGGCAGTGAGAGAAGGAAAAAAAGGAACAGAATGAGAATAGAGAGCACAGACAGATTAAGAGCAAAATACAGGACACACGGGCATTCATAACCTAAAAACAGCAAACACTTCACGATTAGAGGTGGTTATGTTTTCATGAATAAGTCAAGATGGGTTATAAATTAAGTAGGCTTGTCAATCAATTTTATACTAACTCAATCAAATTATATGGCAATTAAATAATTTAATAAATCACACTTAATTGTATGAATTATTATTTGCAGAGAAAAGCAACCAAATGCTGATAATTCAATGATATTTCATGGTAATCGAAAGCAAGGTCTAAATTTGAACTATTATGTCAAATTATTCAATTCTGACACAAATGTCTGCAATGTATTGTATTGCATGTCAACCTGTAATCATAAAAGCTGTGATTAAAGCATAATTACCATTCTCAGCAAAGCTCTTCTTCTCTGCAAGTTCTAGGGCAAAATCATGTGCATCTGCATAGGCTCTGGACAACCGCCAAAGGTACTGGCACTTCTGATCAAACTGTAAGCACATACATGACGTGTGTTAATAAAACATTTTAATTCATAAACCAGAAGCCGTCGTACAACAAAATTTGGGGTCAGTAAGATTTTTAAATGTTTTTGATAACTGATGTCTATTTGAATATACTTTAAGGAAGTGGCTCCCAACCCAACCCTGGTCCTGGAGGCACCCCAACACTGCACAGTTTGCATGTCTCCTTTCTCTGACACACCAATTTCAGGTCTTGGACTTGGAGTCTCTACTAATGAGCTGATGATCTGAATCAGGTGTGTTTGATTAAAGGGTTATGCTGCGTTCACGCCATATCGTAATTACCGTAATTTCGAGATGACAGCACGTGACGTTCTACTCGGAGCTGTTCACGTCCTCGGACTCGGAATTATGCTTTTCTATGGCAACACTATCAACGCCTAAACAGAGCCTGCAGTGGTCACGTGGTACAGCGGTCATGTGGTACAAGTCATAGCTCTCAGAAAACTCCCAGTTCACACGTTGTAATTACGAGTTCTACAAGAACGTGAACGCTTTTTACAAGTTGGGATCTCGTAATTATGGGAATTCCGATATGGTGTGAACGCACCTTTAGTTCACCTCATGAACTCATACTCATACGTCATCAGCCCAGAGCTGCTTTAAGGAGACATGCAAAACATGCAGCGTTGGGGTGCCTCCAGGACCAGGGTTGGGAACCACTGCTTTAAGGTAATTTATTTATTACATAAATTAAATAAATGTCAAGTCAAGTCACCTTTATTTATATAGCGCTTTTAACAATACAGATTGTGTCAAAGCAACTGAACAGCATTAATTAGGAAAATAGTGTCAATAATGCAAAATGACAATAGTAAACACTAATTTTTCAGTTAAAGACAGTTCATCATTGAATTCAGTGATGTCAACATCCAGCTCAGTTTAAATAATATCTTTGCAATCATGTCAACGATATCGCCGGAAATGAAGTGTCCCCAACTAAGCAAGCCAGAGGCGACAGCGGCAAGGAACCAAAACTCCATCAGTGACAGAATGGAGAAAAAACCTTGGGAGAAACCAGGCTCAGTCGGGGGGCCAGTTCTCCTCTGACCAGACGAACCAGCAGTACGGAAAAATCAATATAAGACGTAATAAAACAGACGATGAATAATATTAACAGCAATTATTATATGATGCAATCAAACTTGTAGCAAAATGTGGTAGTTCTGTATGTTGTAAATGTAATGCAAGTAATGTATTAAACTGTTTTATTTATTATTATTATTATTTAGATGAATAAAACATTCAAAAGAGCAGCATTTATTTGAAATAGAAACCATTTGTAAAATTATAAATGTCCCTTTTAATCAATTTAATGCACCCATGTTGAACAAAAGTATTCAAAGTGGTTCAAAAGCATACTGACCCCAAACTTTTTTCGGAATTATGCTTTTCTATGGCAACACTATCAACGCCTAAACAGAGCCTGCAGTGGTCACGTGGTACAGCGGTCATGTGGTACAAGTCATAGCTCTCAGAAAACTCCCAGTTCACACGTTGTAATTACGAGTTCTACAAGAACGTGAACGCTTTTTACAAGTTGGAATCTCGTAATTACGGGAATTCCGATATGGTGTGAACGCACCTTTAGTTCACCTCATGAACTCATACGTCATCAGCCCAGAGCTGCTTTAAGGAGACATGCAAAACATGCAGTGTTGGGGTGCCTCCAGGACCAGGGTTGGGAACCACTGCTTTAAGGTAATTTATTTATTACATAAATTAAATAAATGTAATGCAAGTAATTTATTAAACCGTTTTATTTATTATTATTTAGATGAATAAAACATTCAAAAGAGCAGCATTTATTTGAAATAGAAACCATTTGTAAAATTATAAATGTCCCTTTTAATCAATTTAATGCACCCATGTTGAACAAAAGTATTCAAAGTGGTTCAAAAACATACTGACCCCAAACTTTTGAGCTTTGGAGGCCAAGCACAAACTTGGTAATGAATGTATAAACCTATGGGTGTTTTCACAAAGGTCACTGATGCAGTCAGTAATGGATATGCATTCATAAAGTGTTTACATGCAAAATATCCACAGGATCTGTGCACATGTGAAGCAGGTTAATTAAATGTTTATTGGGATTGCCGGTTTCAGATTGACACCTGAAGGCTTTCAAGTAAAAAAACACTATGAGGGTTGTTTATTTTTCTTACAACAAGGCACGCAATACCTCCCTAACTTTTATAGCCTGTAGCGAATTTAGCTCACAACAGGAAATATGAATAATTAACCATTCATAAAGTGTTTACATGCAAAATATCCACAGGATCTGTGCACATGTGAAGCAGGTTAATTAAATGTTTATTGGGATTGCCGGTTTCAGATTGACACCTGAAGGCTTTCAAGTAAAAAAACATTTATTTTTCTTACAACAAGGCACGCAATACCTCCCTAACTTTTATAGCCTTAGAAAAACGTCTCTTTTCAATGACTGTAGGTGTGCACTAACACTTTCAGCAGCCGAGATGAGTGTGTAAAAACATTAATTACAGGTTAAGGTACAAATGAAAGACTTGAGAAAAAGTGAAAACATAAAAGGCTTCCATCAAGAGCTGGCACCTAAAGCATTTGCGTCATTCGCGGTTCGTGAGAACATCTGAGACTTCGAGCGATGGTTCTGGCAGGGATGTGCTGGAGCTGGAACCTCTGAGGGCACTTCAATGTTACATACAAGACGGTCGCTCATGACAGTCAAAGGAAATAACCCACAGCCCAGGAATCAAAGAAACGCTTGGTGATTGGAACGCCAGTGATTGAGCTTCAGTGACCAAGGTGGGGGATGGTGTTCAGCCGAAATCCTGGCATCCAGTATATTGAGTGAGGGGACTGTGACGATTTGTTAATCTAATGAATAATTGATTTGTTAAATCAAATAAAAATTAGTGTGTCAGATTGGTCGAGACGCTACAAGCCTTAGAAAAACGTCTCTTTTCAATGACTGTAGGTGTGCACTAACACTTTCAGCAGCCGAGATGAGTGTGTAAAAACATTAATTACAGGTTAAGGTACAAATGAAAGACTTGAGAAAAAGTGAAAACATAAAAGGCTTCCATCAAGAGCTGGCACCTAAAGCATTTGCGTCATTCGCGGTTCGTGAGAACATCTGAGACTTCGAGCGATGGTTCTGGCAGGGATGTGCTGGAGCCTCTGAGGGCACTTCAATGTTACATACAAGACGGTCGCTCATGACAGTCAAAGGAAATAACCCACAGCCCAGGAATCAAAGAAACGCTTGGTGATTGGAACGCCAGTGATTGAGCTTCATTCTAATCTTAATTCAATACTCTGCCGGTGTGTTTTTGATTTAAGGGGTTACATTATTAATTTGAATTCTACTTTTAAATTTAAAAACTTTCACATTTAATTCTAATTTTAAAATGGAGAACAGTTCTTTTAAATTATAATAATAATTTTTCACAATAGTTGCTGTTTTTGATCAAATAAATACAGCCTTAGTGAGCACAAGAGACTTCTTTTAAAAACATAAAATATGTTAATTATTGTATATGCCTGGCCAGAGTCTGAATGAAGTTGTCCATTTCCTCTATCTGGATTGAAGGACGTAGCCACACCCAGGAAAAACAGAATCATCCACAGGGATTATTTCGATGCCAATCTTTTATCTCCCTCTTTGTGAGGCCACTATGAGCAGAACTGTAAGCTCAAGAGTACAGTGTTCGTTTGAGAGCACGTCTAACATCTGTCCTCAGCAAAGATCAACAACTGTCAAGGATCTGGCTGCACACTCAAATCTGAAGCATCATCAGGATGTACATTAACCATCATCATTAGCGCAAAGGTTTGCCTTTACATTGCTTCTCTGCTTCGGTTTATCTTTGTGAGGCAATGAAAACCAAGTCTTATCATCACATCTCTATTCATTCGACGAACAAATACAAAAATAAAACTTTTTTTGCCTTTGCTATTGCATTTTACACACCAATAACAAATTGTTTATGTTTAGAGTAAATAGTTTTGATTTGCACATAGCAGTAATACTATCAAAAGCTCTCTTCTCATTCTTATAACCCTGATTAATATGAAATGAAAATAACCCTCTGTAATGATGAATGGCAAAAACATGAATGAATTTCTACTGTCCAACCTGCACTTGAAGTGGAACCTACTTTTCCATCTGTCAAAACATTTAATGGGGGGGGGGGGGGGGGGCTCTTTTTGCTTTTTTTTTTTCTTCATTT